GCCTGCATGGATATTATTTTCAAATCAAGGCGCCACATGGAATGGAGCCCCTCCATCCTGGCTCCAAATTCTCTTTTAATTCAGGTCGTTAATCTTATCCACCCTCCTCTGAGCTCCATACAAATCTCAGGTAAACTAGGAAGTCTTCCCTTTGAGCCTGGAGTCTTTTCTAGAATCAGACAGCCTCTAACCCGAATTGTATCAACTTGGAATCCTGTGGGTCATGTATCTTCTGACACAGAACTGTGAAAATATGCTAAGTGAAATCTTCAATCCTGTCCCCTTTCACACAGCTACCTTGCTTTTGGTCGCTCAGAAGTTAAGAAGGCAACAGGAAAAAGAACACAGAACAATTCTTTTGATTGAACCAAGACCCAAGATATTATGAATTAACCCAAATCTCAGGAAAAATGAAAAAGGCAATCCCAGTTAGGTTACAGGACACAAAAGATACCAAGAATCGTCATCAAATAAGACTAGGAGGCTTTCCGGAAATGGACAACTTTCTGAAACGCTCGACGAAACTCTTCATTAAACACCGTGTAGATTACTGGGTTGATGAGGGAGTTTAAATAGCCTAGCCAGGTGAAGAAGTCAAAGAGGGCTGGGTGGATCCAGCAGGAGTCCTGGCAGATGGGGAGGACCAGAGATGCAACAAAGAAGGGCAGCCAGCAGATGATAAAGGCCCCCAGAATGATCCCCAGGGTTTTAGTGGCTTTCCTTTCCCGAGCAGCAGAAATCCTCTTGCGTTCCAGGATACTATCAGCAAGCTTGATTCTCACGTGGTTGAAAAAGAGAGGGGAGCCGGCTGAGTGCGAGTGCCCTTCATGGAGGCTGGCATTGAGCGAGCAGACCGAGGACCCCGCAGAGCCTGTGATGAGTTGGGCTGCGGTGAAGCGCTTCCCATAGAGCGAGGGTGGATTCAGGATGTGGTTGCGAGCAGCCCTGTAGATCCTGCCATACAGGATGATGAGAAGCACGGACGGGATGTAGAAGGCCCCACAGGTGGAGTAGATGGTGTAGGAGATCTGAGACGTGTTCACCAGGCAGTCTGACATCTCCTCCTGAGCTTCGGCCTGCCGCCAGAAGAGCGGTGGGACGGAGATGCAGATGGAGATGGCCCAGACGATGGCGATCATGGTGGCTGCATGGCCTGCCGTCCGGCATTTACTATACTCCAGGGCATCAGTAATGGCCCAGTACCTGTCCAGGGCAATGACACAGAGATGCAGGATGGATGCTGTGCAGCATGTGATGTCAGAAGACAGCCAGATGTCACAGAGGATTTGGCCAAAGTTCCAGGTGCGGGTGATGGTGTATGCGATGCTGATGGGCATGACCAAGATGGAGACCAAGAGGTCGGTCACAGCCAGGGACCCAATCAGATAGTTGGCGGGAGTGTGGAGCTTCCTGGTGAGTAAGATGGTGGTAAGTACAAAGGCATTGCAGAGAACTGTGGCCAGCGTGATGATGGAAAGGAACACAGCAAGGGAGATCTTGAGCGCCTGGAGAGACCTGGGGTCCCAGTCCCCTGGGGTTTCTGTAGCATTCAGAGATCTGTTGAAGGCCCCCTGGGGAAGGCCTTCTAGTGACTGGTTTGGTTGGGCCATGCTAGGTGGCTGTCTCTTCCCACAGACTTGCACACACTTGGCTCCTTTCACAGCTGTCCTGCCCACAGAGCAAGATCATCCTGCTGGCTCACGCTGGTGGGAGCCATACATCAGAACAGACCACAGTTGAAAGACCTCAGGACTTGACTATTTGAAGAACACGGAGGCAACTATCAGCTGGTAGTTAAAGGTCTTTCCTACATTAGATGAATCCCATGTCTCACTGTTCTGGAGCTTTGCCCAGCAGATGGTCAAGCCCAGGAGACACATGCTGAATTTGTTAGACAATTATCAGGGTATCAGACCAGTATGGGCAATTCTCTTCTGGATTCTTGTCTTTGGCATCTTGGCTCTTTTCAAAGCTTGAGACATTAGTTTATTTAATGAGAACTTCAGAATTTCCTCCATCCTAATCTGAGAAGATTGTGGATTTCAGGTTGCCTCTGGGGACCTTTTAAAACTATAGAGAGAAAAAAGAAGTACCAGCTTACTCAGAGAAGCAGTCCTGTCAACAGTTCAGTTTTCCCAGGTTCATCTTGACACCTCATGAGGTACTTAACTTTGGTTCTTGTGCCACTGACCGTTTTGGGCCTGAACAGACAAAACATTCTGGTTACCAAGTCTAGCATGAGCTAGGAGAAGGCAGAACAAATGGATCACTGTGGGTTCACCGAGAGGGGCACATGTTGAGAAGCTCTGGGGTTTAAAAAAGAAAACAAGTCAAGTTATGTTCTAGAAAGACAATTCAGAAACCCGAATTTAACTGTGAGATTAAAAGGATACTGCTTAAGGCCGGCAAGGGTGCCATGAAACTGGCATTCTCAAAGGTGTCAGGAGAATACAGGTAGAGTAATGCACCCCACCCCTACAATTCCCAGAAGGGACAAAGTATCTTAGCTGTTGGAAGCATCACAGGTTTGTTACATGAAACCAGCTCTGTAAATTGTGAATCAGAAAGCATGGCTGTATTTATACAGCAACAATAGAAACTAAACAAGACAAAACTGTAGGGGAGGGGTGGAGGCCACCAGGAAAGAAACTAAATTGTTACAATGTATTTCTCTAGGAAGTGTGTGGGAGTGGCCTTTCTTCTATTCATTTGAATTTTCCAGATTTCCTAGAGTGAGCATGAATGACTCTTAAAACCAAAAAAAAGAGCAAAAACAAAAATACCTTTTTGTTAAGCAAAGAGATTAACTACAAAAATAAAAACTCTGAGCATTTTTCATGGTGGAAGTTCAAATCCAGAAAATACATTCAACTTTCCAAATGGAAATTTGGCCACAAAAAAATCTTGAGGACTCATTTTCTTGTCTCCTCTGTGTGCCTCTGGCCTCTGGGTTTAAGTATTAGGGACATGGGCAAGCCTGGGGGTTCTTGGTTCTTGGTGTCAGTGATGAGGCTGAGGTGAGCCAGAGGGCAGCGTCAGCTCAGGCCCATCTGGCGTGACCCCAGTGACCCCAATGGAAGTCCGTGCCTGGGGCCCGGCAGGCACATCCCCTGGGGGTTTTGGGGTTGGCAAGAAGAATGCTAAGATCCCTTAGCCCCTCCTCCACCCCCACTATATCTCCCCTGCCTGGTGTGGAATGCTATAATTCCAGCAGGAATCCCTATGATTCACTTTATTCTTTCCAGGTCATCAATAAGTTTTGCCCTGGGAGCATTCACAGCCTGGCAGGGGAGGCAGACGTGTAGCTTCAAGGACCCGAGGGAAGGAGATGGCAAGGCAGAATTAATATTCACACACTTTTAAAAAATGTGATCAGGGCTGGCCAGTTAGCTCAACTGGTTAGAGTGTGGTGTTGTAACACCAAGGTCAAGGGCTCAGATCCCCCATACTGGCTAAATATAATATATTTTGAACAATGTTTCATCAGTCACTCCCACAACATCATTCTTAAGGGCCACATCTTGTTCCACTGGGTGGCTACATTAAGGGGAAGGTTTGCATAGAATTTGGAGGGATGGGATTCCCGGTGCAAGAGAGGCAAGAGCAAAGGCCTAGAGGTCAAAAAGTGTGGTCAGAGGATGGCAAAAAGACCAGCTAGCTAGAGTGTAGAGAGCAGAGAGGCTGTAGGAGATAAGGATCAGGAGGTGGCCAGTGCCAGGGGTGGAAGGTAGCAGGGCACAAGAGAGAGCTTGGCTTGGACAGGGACAACCTGGGCTCTAATCTCTGCTCTATCCCAGCCTTACTATATGGCCTTAGGCAAGTCCCTTCCCTTTTCTGAATCTCAGATTCCTTCCCCAAAACAGTGGCCACCCCTCCTGCCCCCTAGGGCTGCTGCGAAGCTCCCACTGCTCCTGGCAAGGCCAACCTTTGGTACCCAGTAAAAAGCTGAAGTGCCAAGAATCATTATCATCCTACTCCTTTCTCCACAGCTGGGCCCAGGGCTTTGCCAGGAAGGTTCAGTCTGTGTCTGTTGACTGATATTTAAAACATCAAGAAGCTAAACCTGTATGCAGTACTTTCTCTCCCACTCCCCAAACTTGTGGGCACTTCATCTAAAAAAAAAATCTGCCTGGAGGAGGGGGAAAAGCCTCAATTTAAGAAAACCAATGCTAGGGTTGGCCTGTGGCTCACTCGGTAGAGTGTGGTGCTGATAACACCAAGGCCACGGGTTCGGATCCTATATAGGGATGGCCGGTTTGCTCACTGGCTGAGCGTGGTGCTGATAACTCCAAGGCCATGGGTTCGGATCCTATATAGGGATGGTATAAAAAAAAAAAAAAAAGAAGAAAACCAATGTTAAACCACCAACTCCAGGCATATCCCAAACTTTAAAAGATATTATTATATCTTTTGTGGAGCTCTTGCTATGTCACGCACTGAGCTAGCCCTGGGGCTAAGAGTCGCCCAACCTTCGGAGTGAGCAATATGGTCCCCAACTTACAAATAAGCCAACCAGTGCTCAGAGAGGTGATGTCACCTGCCCGATGCTCAAAGAGGTGATGTCACCTGCCCGAGGTCATCTGGCTGGAAGTGGAAGAACCAGGTCCACAGCTCCAAAACTTCTACACTTCTCCACATTGCCTCAACCCAGAATGAAAAGCCTTAAGCCACATGGGCTTCCAGGGATGAAGCCAGTTTGGGATTCACACTGACACGTGAAAATTATGACCCCTTCTGCCCCCACCCACCCAAATCTCCACCCTAAAAGCCTCTGGCTGAAGTTTTCCTCCCACTTTGGTTCACATGGAAAATGTAAAGTCAGGTTGGACTTTACATTTGGAATTTTCTTCCCTCCAAACAGTCTGGGTGAGTCCCAGACTGGTCTGAGGTCCCATCATTTCCCACGGAAGGCTGGTGTGCTTGCCCCAGCAACTCATGCGGTCACTCCTTGAGTTCCAGGCATTCCAGTGACCTCATTTCAGTGAAAGGCGTGGGCTCAGAAAGGCCTGAGGGGCTGGCAGGTGAACAAGGGCTCGGCCCCTTGGTGACATCTTGTTAGAAAGACAGGGACAGGGTGGATGGCCTTGGTCAGGAGTGCTGGACTGTGGCTCTGCAGGAAGCTACATGATTCTGAGGCCATCTCCCTCCTCTCCTGCCTGCTGTCCTTCCCCATCCTAATCAAAGTTGGGGGAATTTCCCACAATCCAGCTGCCTCTGGAGACAGACTATAGCTCTATAAGAAACTACCTCTCTCTCATCACACTTCAAATAATAAAATAAAAAAATGCAGATTAAAATGACAATGAGGTATCATGTTCACCCGGAAGACAGGTAAAATATTTTAAATCTGATCATGTCACATCAGTAAGGGTGTGGAGCAACAGGAATTGTCACCTACACTAGTAGAGTATAAATGGGAGGAATCCCTTTGGCAAATAATTTGGTGTTATCTCATAAAACTGAAGATGTGATGACTATTTAATGATCCAATAATTCTACTGCTAGGTATGCAAGACACAGAAACTCTTCTATGTGTTTGCCAGCAGACAGAAACAAGAAAGGTCCCAGTAGCATTGACTGTAATAGCAAATGACTACAAATAACCCAAATATCCATCAACAGCAGAATAGTAGAATGTGACACATTCCCATGCTGGAGTGCTTCAGAGAAGCAACACTGAGTAAACCAAAGCTACACACATCAAAAAGGAGAGTCTCACAAACACAACCGAGTGCCAAAGTAAAAAACATGCAATAGCTCAGCTGGTTAGAGCACAGTCTTACAACCCCAAGGTCACGGGTTTGGATCTCCCTACCGGCCAGCCACAAAAAAAAAAAAAAGTGACAAAAAACAAACTGTTTAGGAAGATAAATATATGTGGCAAAACCATAAGAAAAAGCAAGGAAATGATAAAGATATTCAAGATAGTGTTTACCCCTGCAGGGGAAAGGAAGCATGAATGTAATGATGAAGGATTTTATTTTATTTTTTTCCTTTACACTTTCATCATAAAGGGTTTTTTTTGGTCCTTTTTGAGACTGACCGCACCGCGCTCAGCCAGTGAGCGCTGTGAGCGCACCGGTCATCCCTATATAGGATGCGACCCCGCGGCGGGAGCGCTGCTGCGCTCCCAGTGCCGCACTCTCCCGAGTGTGCCACGGGCTCGGCCCCATCATAAAGGGTTTTAAAGACATCAGTGATATGCTATTTTTTTTTTTTTTTTTGTCTTTTTCCGTGTCCGGCAACGGATCGCAACCCTCAGTGT